AGCACAGTTGAATTTACAACTGATGGGATCTCAACTTATTCCTTCCCAACTGTTGTAGAGTGTTCAAGGGTCCCAGATGTTCTTCAACTGCAACTCCCAGATATCCCAGCCAGCACAGCTGGTGGTAAAGGCTTCTGGGAATTGCAATTCAAGAACACCTGGATTAGCCATGATTGTAAACTGTTGCTCTACAACAGTGGTGTCGAACTCTGGCCCTCCAGATGTTCTTGGACTTCAACTCCCAGAAGCCTTCACCACCACCTCTGCTGGCCAGGATTTCTGGGAGTTGAAGGCCAAGAACATCTGGAGGGCCACAGTTCGACACCACTGCTCTACAACTTCCTAGTCCTGCCCGGCCTGTTGCCCCTGCCTTGGGTCCTTCCCAGTCTTTGCGGGTAGGCCCACAAGTGGTTCTATTCACCTTCCTCAGGCTCTGCTCAGTCCTTGTTGCTGGCAGGTCTTTCCAGTTGCACCTGTGCAATTTGCTCCCAACCCTAGTCCCCCAAAAGTTGGCCTTCCTCAGTTCTCAGGGTAATGGATTTGCCATGCCTGGTGCTTATGCTTCCAATACTGCTTCTGTGTTGGGGTGGGTCAGCCCTTCTCCAGTGGTAACAGAGCCAATATGTAGTTCAGTACAGTTCATGAAGCCTGGTAGCTAGGCATATCAGCAAAGGCAAAGTCCATTTCCCATGAGGGTGTTGCCAGTATGCCTAGTTCAGTCTCTTCATCCCTCTGCCCTGCTCCTCATTGTCTTCCATGTCCTCCTCTGGATCCCCCACACACACCTTTTATATCTACAGCCCTACATTTCTTTGGTTCTTCTTTCACTGGCAGGCAAGTTTCACATGTCAGTCACATGTCTCCTTCAACGCCTCCACATGCCCCTCATGCACTCTATGTCTATTGAGCAGGGCCCCACCAAGCCACTTCCCTTGAGCAGGCTACACAGAGTACTTCAGCTCAACTGACTCACCAGTAGGTGTGTTGGGAGGTGCAGTGGTGGACTCAACCTGGACAACTCTACCAGTTCTGCCACACCCAGGTAGAGTACTAGTCTTAGGAGGGGGTCTGCCCTTCCTAGCAAGTGGTCTTAGACTTGCTCACACTGTTGAGCTAGTTAACTGTTGCCTACTCTAAGCAGCTATAGTTCTCCTGAAGCTGAGAAATCCTGTTACCTTTTATCTGGCACTCACAATATTAAAGGAACTGCTCCTGGGAAAAATACTTACATTTCCCAGAAAAATGCCATACTTTAAATACTGAGGAAGATTCAGACTTCAAACAACAAAAATTTTATCATGAGGGAAGATGCTCAACATCAAAAAAATTAAGATCATGGCCACTGGTCCCATCACCTCTTGGCAAATAGAAGGGGAAGATATGGAGGCAGTGACAGATTTTACTTTCTTGGGCTCTCTGATCACTGCAGATGGTGACAGCAGCCATGAAATTAAAAGATGCCTGCTTCTTGTGAGGAAAGCAATGACAAACCTAGACAACATCTTAAAAAGCAGAGACATCACCTTGCCAACAAAGGTCTGCATAGTCAAATAATTGTGGTCATTAAGATATGCAAGATTATAGGAATCCTTGTTCTGTTTAACTAAAGTGGTAATATGTCAATGACATCCTTCTGCATCTTCAGCAAAGAGCAACATATGTCCAGTCCAAGAAAGGGTTGAAGGAGGATGTAAGAAGGAAGGAAAAGTATCATCAGCAATCCTACTATCAGTCCAGGTTGAAAAAAGATCAGCATACATCTGAGCAGATGATAATCTTAGAAACCTGAGAAGGCCACTCTCTGCCCACCTGCTTTTCCTCATCCAAACACATTGCATTTTCCATGTAAATTGGTCATACCCTCTTACCACCAACACTCCTCTAATCTTTCAGAGTTCTCTCAAAGCCCTGATCAGCTGTTATGGAAGGAGGAGGTTGAGAAGGCATAATTGAGCCTTAAGCTTCTCTCACCACAGCAGAAAAAAGATCCGTTGATCCGATTCCAAAATCTATTGCATTGATTCCCCCTCCAGTCTTGCCTAAGTATATCACCTGGATTGCATACGTTTTCACACAACTACCAGAAAACCAGTCCCAAGTGGTCACTTGGACTGCTGCTTGTATAAATTTGCAGTACAAAGTTGCAGAACCTCCTGTTACTGAACGGATAGATAGGTGTTCTTCTTGGCAGTAATAGTTAAGAATCAATATTTTAAATGGGCTGAATACTCCTTCTGAACCTACTTTAAAAATACTTGCATCCTCCTCGTCCAATCCTCCTTAGGGTAGGGCTTCAACCCCAACCCCAACCCCAACCCCATTGGTAAGTGTACAAAAGAGCCAGGCAGTTCTCTCATGGCACCTGGCACAATGCCTTGTCTCCACTCTCTTTGTGTCCAGGCTAGTAGTCAGTGTTGGAAAGTCAGAATGTTTAATATTTCAGTCTGGATGTTTAATATTTAAACAGTGTACTGCTTTTTTGGGAATGCTGAGGCAGCACCAGTGCAGGGGAGGGCATGCTGTCAGGCTCCTTCCAGTGCCTTTGTCATTTCCCTCCGTGAATTTAAAGTGAAGAACTCCATCTAAAACAGGGTGGTCTGAACAATTGTGAAATGCCTGCAGTCTGTAAAGCAACAGACCTGGGCACTGGACCCAAGTCTCCCAGGCAGTATCTCCACTTTAAGAGGGAATATAATCTATGCATTCATTCCCATAAACCTCTGAATCGGTCTTTTTTTCCACTTCTTTTGGGCGGTACCCAAAAATGCAATGAACAAAATCTACAGGCCATCTTAAAATGGGTGGCTTATGCTTTGTATATTTGTAGCCTGCTGGTCCTCTGAGGAAGTAAGCAAAGCATATAAATTATTCCATTTTATTCTCACTTTGACCCTTTGAAGAATGTTAGCTGAGCAGCAGGGGCAGCCCCACCATCAGCCAACATAAGATGACGGCTTCATTCTGAGCCTCCCAGCAATTTCCCTCAGCTGGTAGTCAGAGCTATGCATGTCACACAGCCTGCTCTGTGGTCTCCAGTGCAGTGAAGAACGGTATCCCATCACTTGTGCTGAAGATTGAACCTGTTGTTTAGGAAGTGGTTGCCATATTGTCCTTTGCCTCGGGCGGCAAAATCTCTTGAGATAGCCCTATGACAAGTAAAAAAGTGGCACAGAGCCCAAGTGAATTTTCTGCCTGAGTAATTATGGTTCTTTCTATTTTTAAATTATATTGTACTTCTTAAAATAGATAGAAGTGCAGAATACACCTGGGATGTAAAATCCTTCAGCGCAAATGTTGCACATGACTTGTTAAAATTGATTATTTAAAAAACAGTAATGGTCCTTTTTCTATCCTGTAGTGCAGGATGAGTAGAAAATAGATCCAGATCTGCTGTTATATTATGGTGATTTGCAGTAGATTGGCAAGGATTTCAGACTTCCACCTTTTTAACAAGAAGGAGGAGGAGGGGGAGGAGGAGAAGAAGAATTTTATATAAAAAAGAATGCTGAACTTCATTCTAATACTGAATTCTTGGTTTCAACTACATATCTGCAATGTATTAAACATTTATCTGTCATGTGAAAAATTCTCTTTCAACCATTCTCTTTCAATCTCAGCAAAAATTAATTCCTTTACAAAAGAACTGGAAAGGAAGAGAAATATCAGAGAACTTTTAATGGGTGAATTTCTGTATTCTTGTGTTTACTATGAGGTGGCTGAGGACATACCTAGATGTAAATGTCCTGTCTTTCCCTGGACAATCATCTCTCAGGCAGTTGGCAGCCTTCCCAGGTTCCCACAGTTCAGTTAAAGCCCATGGAAAGATACCATCAGGTAATGCTGCCCACAGGACCTTCTCAGATCAGAATGGACGGGCAGGTAGTAAAGCTGTAGACGGATGAAGAAATTCAATAGAAAGAGAAAAAACAAAAACAAATGCAGTGCCCTTAGTTATGCAGGTTAGAGTAAGTTAAAAAAAAATCACCACAAGAAATTCAAAAGGACCCTGAGAATTAGATGGAAAAACAGCTTGTTTTTAAAAGAAGAAATAAAACTTGTGGGAAATTGAAGGATAAATGATGCCACACAACTAGCTTCCCCCCCCCCCGTAACTGGACCTCTCTCATACCTAGTACAGTGTTCATACTACAGGAAGGAGTTGTTATAAGGATGGCCTGCAATTGAAACAAAATATATCTATAATAGAGGTGTGCATATTTATGTTTTTAGGTACATCTCCAGACCTCCCAAGTTCTACATCTCCAGAACTCCCCAGGGAGCTTACACAACACCAGTCTTCCTTAACTTGGTGCCTTCTGAATGTTTCTTATTACAGCTTCTATCATCCACAACCTATTAATAGGAGTAAAGGAACTGTAATTTGGCACATCTGGAGAGTGTCAGGCTGAGGAAAGTTGCACCACAGCATCTGATGCTACTGCTCACTACAGAGCCTAAAACCTGAAAGAGGCCAACAACATGGTTGGTATTTAGTATGTCCTCATATAATTACTCTCCTAAACAGTGGACATATGATACCCAGAAAACAGGAAGAAAAATTTCTATATTTATTCTTCAGAGGGCCTGGACAATTTCATGCTGCCCTCCCTACCAAATGACCAAGCCAGAAGATAGCTTCTGATTTATGTTTCTGTTCCTCCAAATAAATCTAAGGATGTAGCAGGAAATTTAGTAGACAATACATGTCTAAGAAGAAATAGAAGCCTTGGTTCCCTAAAGTGATTCATGTCACTGGTTAAGGACATCTATAGTGAAAGGCCTTTTAGCTGAAAGCAAAACTCTTCCATTGTACAAGACCTGATCCATCATCCCTTAGACGCACTTATCCTGTTAAAAATTCATGGAGTAGTAACTACAGAACAATCACATTGTATAGTTCCAGGAATACCTCGGGTGTTCCATAGGCATGTTTAATGCAAGGTACTGTGATAATTATGAACTCTGTAAAACGTATTGAGGAAAGATGATTTACTTTACAGGATGCATTCACACGTGGAAACTGAAAGTAGCTGAGCCAGCTGTGATGGTACGCTTATCTTTTTTTGGGGGGGGGGGTCATTCATGTTGGCATATGGTAACAATTTCTTTTCTTTTCTTTTTCTTTTTTTTTGGTCATTCATGTTGGCATACGGTAACAGGGATACATAAGGAGGATCAGCCTCCTTAGATTGGTTTCAACAATCACGTGTGCTGGAACTGATCCAAACAAAGTGATGCTACCCACACCAAAAAAGTAGAAATTAAATTGGATAGATCTTTGTAGAATATGTCAGATGCTAAAGCAAATATGTTAATAGATTATGCTATTATCCTATTTTAAGCCCTTCAGGGAATCCACAGCAGGTATAAAGTGCTCTGTTCTGCCATTTTATACTTACCACAACTCTTGCAATATGATAAGCACTAAGGAATAGTGACTGGCATAAGAGAACTTAATGATATTTGTGACTCAGTGGGGACTTGAAATAAATACAGTAATTGGGAAAACAAAATGGTGGCAGCCAGAATCCATTTTGTGCCATTATCAATGGAACAAAATGTAATATATGAAGAAGAAGAAGCAAAAGACAACTCCCCCCTCCCCACAGTTCCTGAATGGGATTCTCAGTCATGCCCAGTTGTTGCCCACTGCCACCCAGCACCTGTTTGGGTATTGAGCTGTAACAGCCCATTCAGTGGATTTCAGAAATCAGACATGCCGTTTTTGTCCTGAAATGAATGCATACCTCCTATTTCCTGCCTTATTGATGGACAGCTGAGATTAATCAGATCAAGATTAATGACATGGATAGCAGGAGACAAGAAAGTGGAATGAGTATGTGATATTTCACAAAATTTAAACCAGAAAGTTGGTGTGATCTCTCCCAAATAATCACAAAGCAGCGTGTTCATATGGTTGTGTTGTTATTTCTTCTGGTTCACTGCTACAAATCATTCTCTGTATTATGTGCCCTCAAATTGTCAGGTATGACTTGCAAAATTATTCAGTCTTCCTGAACCAGCCCTAGTCAGCCAGCACCAACCAACCGAGACTATGCATTATATGTGAGGTCCTTTGGAGACTACTCGGAAACTTCAATTACTGCAGATGACGCAGATGTTTCCACATGAGTGCTGCTTTTTCCATATGAGCAGGGCAGTCACACTGCTTCATTGATGGATGTTTACTAAAGATCTACAGACTAACAGCTTCAGTTTGTAGCCCCTCTTGCAGAGTCCCTTCCATATTTTCCCTAAATTTCATCTGTGTTTCTTTCTTACCAGTGAACATCTTTTGAGGAAGAAAAAGATTTAAGTAACTGCACAACGTCATTCAACTGCGAGTGGTAGGAGCCCTCTGTCTGGAAACACCCTCTGGCNNNNGGAATTCCCCCCCCCCCCAACACAAATAAAAGTACTGGTTTGAACTTCTGAAGCTGTTTACAGTGTGTGTTCTAAGTATCTGAAGGATCATATGTTCCCACATAAGGGAACCCATAAAGGCCTCACGATCATCATCAGAGGACTTTTTCTGAGTGTTCCTGCCTTCTGAAGTTAATTTAGTAGGATGGGGACCTTTTAGGTGGTGACATCCCACTGACAGAATATCCTGGAAAGATCCAGTCGGGCCGTCTGTTATGCTTCTGAAGCAAACCTAAGATTTTATAGTCACCTGAGATCTTAATGGACAATTATGGTGATTTACCCTCTTAAGATGTACTGTTCCACATTGAACCCATTACTGGAAGCAGAGCTCCCTTAAGAGGTTAATTTGTTAACACGGGATCAATTTGCAAACGGAATTGTGTAAATATGGCAGTCCTGGGAGTGAAAACATGGTATCACTTTCTAACTGCAATGCTTGGTCTTTTCTAATTGCCGTTTTGTTTTTTAGTTGCCTAGTTTCATTCATAGTTCCCCACCCCACCCCATTCTCTGCAGTGATTCCACACGGCATTTTCTCTGTTGCTGTATTATAGATGTTCCTGATTGCATTCATATTTGTTGTGTACCATTTTGGGAATGTAATCTATTTCAAAGCAGGAAAAACTTCATCAAAATAAAAAGAGAAAAACTGTCTGTTAGATGAGTGCACAGCAAGCTCAGCGGGTAACTGCTTAGGGAAGGACAAGGTAAAGAAATACTTTGTAGAGACAATAATTTTTCTTTCCAGCAAGTGATTTTGAAATCCATCTTAATGGCTGGCAAAAGGAAGAAGAGAAAGTAGCTGATTGGCACTGACAAAGAATGCCTGCAAAGGGGTTAGAAATTGCCACTTGAATAGCCTGGCTTGAAGTTGGAGGAGCCTCAGGTAGGCCCATTTTCTGTGATCAGGAGGAAGAAGAGAGGTTACAAATATGGACATGGAGAATGACTAACTGCTCTAGACCAGCCTTTCCCAGTCTGGTGCCTTCTAGAGGAGGTTTTGGGCTATAATTGTAAGCATTCCTATTTGTTGACCTTTCAGGCTAGGCCTGATGGGAACTGAAGTCCAAGATATCTGGCAGGCACCAGCTTCTGGAAGGCTGCTCTAGGCATAGCCTGAGAGGTAGCATGAAGCAGCACTATCTCTCTGTAACAGAGACAGAACCAGTGGCATGTGGTGTTGAAGGAAAAGAATCCAAGCGATGCTATCCCACTCCAGAATAGTATTTCAGAGGGGCTCAGGATTTGAGCATGGATACCACAGTACATAACACACACAGCCACCCCATCAACTGAGAACAGCACAGATGTGTTTTAATTGCTGCTTTTTTCAGCTAACTAATGGAGCGAGGGGCACCTTCTCCAGATAAACAGCTCAGTAAGTTTTGACAAGAAAGGTAGTTGCTTATATCTATGTATGTGGTCCTCAGTTAGTCACAGTCACATGTACTTGTGCTTACATATTCATAAGAGTGCTAAACGTGAAGTGAAAATCAGAGTGGGGCAGGGAAGAGGTTGCACTCGGGATGAAATGATCGTACACCACAGTTGGCAGCAGTGGATGTTTCCCAAGTCCCAATACTTGCAACTCCTCCTCCAATGTTTTGCCCACCCAGGGGACGGGGAGGAATCTGACTGACCAACAGTTTGGAAACTCTGGAAACTTTCACACTCCAACTATATTTGGCATTGAGCAGATGGGAACCCAAGATGCAACTGGACTTAAATGACTACACGACTGACAGAAGGATAGCATAACTTGTAACACCACTCACACCTAATGTACAAACAACAAACTGATCTGGTTTCCAAATCAGAAATACAACGTTGTGGCAATGGAGCTCCAGCTAAATATGACCATCTGGGATAGAAAGCAGCAGGCAGGAGGAACCAGTCAACAGGACAGGCAGACTATCCATAGCTTCCTTAAGTGATAACCATCTGGTGCTCTAAACTAGATTAGCTCTGACCAGCAAGCCAGATGTACAGGAGTGATGGAGGTAATAATCAAAACAAAGGAAATCTCAAAAGAAAGGAGGGCATCTTGGGAAAAGCTGTGAAGAGGAGGCAGAACTGCTCCTATTTTTCTTATAGGATCACAAACAGAAACCTGCTCTCGTGATTTTAAAATGTGATTCATGATTTAGTGATGTTCTCTCTAGAAGAAGAGAGGCAAGGAGAACCAAGAGAGGAATGTATACAGGCCACAGCCTGAAAAAGTAACTGTTCCAAGTTCTGAAATAGATCCACTTACACCAACATAATGTTTGATTGCAGCCAATGATGACAGTTTGTTCATCTAAAATATTTTAAATTATTAGTGGACTGACCAAGGAATTCAAAGTGAGTTTGGCAGAGGGATTTGAGAAGAGAGAGGAGCGGAAGCATTGTGCAGTTTTTCTGCAAGGCTTATGAGCAAAGCTTGCTTCCTATGTACAAAGAGGACATTTAGTATGGTGGAGCTGGCAGGTATGCCTCACAAATAGAATCCATCCAGTGCTACAGTCTCCATTACATCACAACTGCACATAAAACTGCTGTTTTAAAACCAACAAAAACCACTGAATTGCATATCTGTCTGCTCCAATATTTAGTGCCTGGGATAGTTTTTTGGATCAATACTTTCTTCTTTCATTCTATCGAGTGGCAGATTTTCATGCAGTCTTTTAAGTTACCTTAAGGTCAGGAAAACTAGTAAGAACAAAATGAGTCACAAGAACAGGCAAAAATGGCTCAGGGTTTGATCACATGGGGAAATAGACTGCCTTTTGGACGACTTGTGAAGCAGTCTAGCGTAATGTATTTCCTGGTGATCACACAATCAGATACAGGGAATTGCAGTCTGGCCCAACCTTGATCTGTGCCCAACCTGGACCTTTTTGTCTCAGCTGTAGAGCTACTCCTTTTGGAGCTGGACTGGAGCAATGCCCTGACAGATGGAAGGACCACTTAAAGAGAAATTGCACCCTGCAAAACAACCATTTCTGGTGTAATGGGACACGTGCCTTTCCAGCTGACTGACTGCACCCTCAGAGATGATGTGGTACCTCCAGAGAATCAGCAATGTTACTCTGTCTTAGCATATTGGTAAAACTAAAAAGAAAGGGGGGGGGCTGGCAAAGACACATAACAAAAGTTCAACATCTGTCCCAAGTTAAAATGCTACATTTCCCTCCTTTCTTCTCCTCCTTTTTCTCTTTAATTGTGCCACCTTGATGTGGTGAAACCGAGAAAATAATTTGGACCAGGTGTCATAAGTTAGTAACTTACTGGATGTGCTGGGAAGTCAAAATGGAGGCGTCAGCTTCCTCTTTGTTGCTGGCCTTTTTCACACTTGGCAGTTTGGCTTTGCTGGCACAGTTTCTTGTGTAGAAAACAGTGAGCAGCCTCTCTTTGTTGCTGTTTCTACCATCCATTCACAAGTACTTTCCACAAAGGCCAAACATGCTTTCCCTCCCTGCTCCAAACTTGCACACGGGTTGGTTTGGTGAGAGAAGCTCCTCCGCCTGTGATGCTGGTTTCAAGTAAAGGAAGACCATGCTGACTTTAAATCAGCGCTTCCCAAACCTTTCAGTCAGAAAGAAAGAGAGCGAGGGAGAAAGAGAATGTCAGTGACGTGGGAATTTGGATGAGAAGGGATGAGAGTAGGGAAAGGAAGGGGGAAGGGGGGGGGAAGCCAGGCCCAGCTGCTGGAAATATGATCTTCCTAAGTTTGCCTCCCTCTTTTGCCTGCCCAGAAACACACTATTTCAAACTCAACTGCCAATTTTCTATGAGAACGGTCCCCATGTCTGTGGCGTGGACAAGTGAGCCAAGAGGCAGCTGTTGATTCCCCTGGTGCATCTTTGTATTTGCTTCTCTCTGGTTCTTGCAAAGTTTCCTTAGGAGAAAGGGAGGGCAAGGGGAGTGTTCAAAGGGATTCCTCATTTGCCATGGGGGAAGGGAGGGCAATGATCAAAACCTTTTGATACAACCCTACTACCATATTTTGTCCCATTATTCAAATCTATGTCTGAAGTTATTTCACTGTAGCACTGTCAAAGAGCATAACAGGTCAGATTTTTGTCCCAATAAACTTCCAGTCTATATTTCAACACAGGTAGTGAAGAAAAAAAATAAACAGGGAAAGAATATGCAAATATATTGAGAATTACATTTGTTTAGGTACGGCTACAAGCTTAGTCACAATAGAGGCAGTGCTCAGAAATATTCCTCCTTTTTTTGAACTCCAGTTCCCACTGGCTATGTTGATTGCTGGGTCAAGGAAAATGAAATCCAAAAAGTAACTTTTTCAACTTTCAAGAAACATACAGGGACTAGTTGAACCCAAGGCATTACAGCAGAAGTGGGCAACACTGGTGGGTCTGGGGTCAGTTTTCTCTCTATTGGAGCTTCTCAGACTGCAAGCAAGCAAGTAATAAATAAATAAATAAAAATAAAAACATCCTCAGTGGTAAGTAGATGTCCCCATTCTGAACACTAATGAACGCATTTGTGGGAATTAAAAATACTGTAAGCCCATTTCTAGTAAAGTCCTTCTGAATGCTTTTCAGATGCCAGAAACAGATTCAGTGGAAGGTATTTCAATCTTATATTCTGCACTCATTCTATCTTGAGAAGAGGATGGATACCTTCCCAGTACTGCTATGAAACTTGTCAAACACCTTAAACAAATATATTTACTCGGCACCCATGATTTCCATTATGAATCACTTGGAAATTCATTCATCCATTTATTTTATTTATACCACCCTTCTCCCAATAAGGATGTGGTAGGAACTGAAAAGCCTCTCCTGAAGGTCCAACTCTAGACAAGATGATAAAGAGAGAGACGGGTGGATCTAATCTGCATTGGGCTTTATAAACCACGAACTGTTCCAGAAACAGACTGGTTTCACAGTAAATAACAATTCTGCAGTAACAACCTGACCACAGCAT